CCGGTTCTGGTTCTGGTTTATTTTACGGGCTCCACGGAGCGGACCGACAAAGCCCGGTTCTGGTTCTGGTTTATTTTACGGGCTCCACGGAGCGGACCGACAAAGCCCGGTTCTGGTTCTGGTTTATTTTACGGGCTCCACGGAGCGGACCGACAAAGCCCGGTTCTGGTTCTGGTTTATTTTACGGGCTCCACGGAGCGGACCGACAAAGCCCGGTTCTGGTTCTGGTTTATTTTACGGGCTCCACGGAGCGGACCGACAAAGCCCGGTTCTGGTTCTGGTTTATTTTACGGGCTCCACGGAGCGGACCGACAAAGCCCGGTTCTGGTTCTGGTTTATTTTACGGGCTCCACGGAGCGGACCGACAAAGCCCGGTTCTGGTTCTGGTTTATTTTACGGGCTCCACGGAGCGGACCGACAAAGCCCGGTTCTGGTTCTGGTTTATTTTACGGGCTCCACGGAGCGGACCGACAAAGCCCGGTTCTGGTTCTGGTTTATTTTACGGGCTCCACGGAGCGGACCGACAAAGCCCGGTTCTGGTTCTGGTTTATTTTACGGGCTCCACGGAGCGGACCGACAAAGCCCGGTTCTGGTTCTGGTTTATTTTACGGGCTCCACGGAGCGGACCGACAAAGCCCGGTTCTGGTTCTGGTTTATTTTACGGGCTCCACGGAGCGGACCGACAAAGCCCGGTTCTGGTTCTGGTTTATTTTACAGGCTCCACGGAGCGGACCGACAAAGCCCGGTTCTGGTTCTGGTTTATTTTAAGAGGCTCCACGGAGCGGACCGACAAAGCCCGGTTCTGGTTCTGGTTTATTTTACAGGCTCCACGGAGCGGACCGACAAAGCCCGGTTCTGGTTCTGGTTTATTTTAAGAGGCTCCACGGAGCGGACCGACAAAGCCCGGTTCTGGTTCTGGTTTATTTTACGGGCTCCACGGAGCGGACCGACAAAGCCCGGTTCTGGTTCTGGTTTATTTTACGAGGCTCCACGGAGCGGACCGACAAAGCCCGGTTCTGGTTCTGGTTTATTTTACGGGCTCCACGGAGCGGACCGACAAAGCCCGGTTCTGGTTCTGGTTTATTTTACGGGCTCCACGGAGCGGACCGACAAAGCCCGGTTCTGGTTCTGGTTTATTTTACGGGCTCCACGGAGCGGACCGACAAAGCCCGGTTCTGGTTCTGGTTTATTTTACAGGGCTCCACGGAGCGGACCGACAAAGCCCGGTTCTGGTTCTGGTTTATTTTACGGGCTCCACGGAGCGGACCGACAAAGCCCGGTTCTGGTTCTGGTTTATTTTACGGGCTCCACGGAGCGGACCGACAAAGCCCGGTTCTGGTTCTGGTTTATTTTACGGGCTCCACGGAGCGGACCGACAAAGCCCGGTTCTGGTTCTGGTTTATTTTACGGGCTCCACGGAGCGGACCGACAAAGCCCGGTTCTGGTTCTGGTTTATTTTACGGGCTCCACGGAGCGGACCGACAAAGCCCGGTTCTGGTTCTGGTTTATTTTACGGGCTCCACGGAGCGGACCGACAAAGCCCGGTTCTGGTTCTGGTTTATTTTACAGGGCTCCACGGAGCGGACCGACAAAGCCCGGTTCTGGTTCTGGTTTATTTTACGGGCTCCACGGAGCGGACCGACAAAGCCCGGTTCTGGTTCTGGTTTATTTTACGGGCTCCACGGAGCGGACCGACAAAGCCCGGTTCTGGTTCTGGTTTATTTTACGGGCTCCACGGAGCGGACCGACAAAGCCCGGTTCTGGTTCTGGTTTATTTTACAGGCTCCACGGAGCGGACCGACAAAGCCCGGTTCTGGTTCTGGTTTATTTTACGGGCTCCACGGAGCGGACCGACAAAGCCCGGTTCTGGTTCTGGTTTATTTTACAGGGCTCCACGGAGCGGACCGACAAAGCCCGGTTCTGGTTCTGGTTTATTTTACAGGGCTCCACGGAGCGGACCGACAAAGCCCGGTTCTGGTTCTGGTTTATTTTACAGGGCTCCACGGAGCGGACCGACAAAGCCCGGTTCTGGTTCTGGTTTATTTTACAGGCTCCACGGAGCGGACCGACAAAGCCCGGTTCTGGTTCTGGTTTATTTTACGGGCTCCACGGAGCGGACCGACAAAGCCCGGTTCTGGTTCTGGTTTATTTTACGGGCTCCACGGAGCGGACCGACAAAGCCCGGTTCTGGTTCTGGTTTATTTTACGGGCTCCACGGAGCGGACCGACAAAGCCCGGTTCTGGTTCTGGTTTATTTTACGGGCTCCACGGAGCGGACCGACAAAGCCCGGTTCTGGTTCTGGTTTATTTTACGGGCTCCACGGAGCGGACCGACAAAGCCCGGTTCTGGTTCTGGTTTATTTTACGGGCTCCACGGAGCGGACCGACAAAGCCCGGTTCTGGTTCTGGTTTATTTTACAGGGCTCCACGGAGCGGACCGACAAAGCCCGGTTCTGGTTCTGGTTTATTTTACGGGCTCCACGGAGCGGACCGACAAAGCCCGGTTCTGGTTCTGGTTTATTTTACGGGCTCCACGGAGCGGACCGACAAAGCCCGGTTCTGGTTCTGGTTTATTTTACGGGCTCCACGGAGCGGACCGACAAAGCCCGGTTCTGGTTCTGGTTTATTTTACGGGCTCCACGGAGCGGACCGACAAAGCCCGGTTCTGGTTCTGGTATTTTACAGGCTCCACGGAGCGGACCGACAAAGCCCGGTTCTGGTTCTGGTTTATTTTACAGGCTCCACGGAGCGGACCGACAAAGCCCGGTTCTGGTTCTGGTTTATTTTACAGGCTCCACGGAGCGGACCGACAAAGCCCGGTTCTGGTTCTGGTTTATTTTAAGAGGCTCCACGGAGCGGACCGACAAAGCCCGGTTCTGGTTTATTTTACGGGCTCCACGGAGCGGACCGACAAAGCCCGGTTCTGGTTCTGGTTTATTTTAAGAGGCTCCACGGAGCGGACCGACAAAGCCCGGTTCTGGTTCTGGTTTATTTTACGGGCTCCACGGAGCGGACCGACAAAGCCCGGTTCTGGTTCTGGTTTATTTTACGGGCTCCACGGAGCGGACCGACAAAGCCCGGTTCTGGTTTATTTTACGGGCTCCACGGAGCGGACCGACAAAGCCCGGTTCTGGTTCTGGTTTATTTTAAGAGGCTCCACGGAGCGGACCGACAAAGCCCGGTTCTGGTTCTGGTTTATTTTACGGGCTCCACGGAGCGGACCGACAAAGCCCGGTTCTGGTTCTGGTTTATTTTACGGGCTCCACGGAGCGGACCGACAAAGCCCGGTTCTGGTTCTGGTTTATTTTACGGGCTCCACGGAGCGGACCGACAAAGCCCGGTTCTGGTTCTGGTTTATTTTACGGGCTCCACGGAGCGGACCGACAAAGCCCGGTTCTGGTTCTGGTTTATTTTACGGGCTCCACGGAGCGGACCGACAAAGCCCGGTTCTGGTTCTGGTTTATTTTACGGGCTCCACGGAGCGGACCGACAAAGCCCGGTTCTGGTTCTGGTTTATTTTACGGGCTCCACGGAGCGGACCGACAAAGCCCGGTTCTGGTTCTGGTTTATTTTACAGGGCTCCACGGAGCGGACCGACAAAGCCCGGTTCTGGTTCTGGTTTATTTTACAGGCTCCACGGAGCGGACCGACAAAGCCCGGTTCTGGTTCTGGTTTATTTTACGGGCTCCACGGAGCGGACCGACAAAGCCCGGTTCTGGTTCTGGTTTATTTTACGGGCTCCACGGAGCGGACCGACAAAGCCCGGTTCTGGTTCTGGTTTATTTTACGGGCTCCACGGAGCGGACCGACAAAGCCCGGTTCTGGTTCTGGTTTATTTTACAGGGCTCCACGGAGCGGACCGACAAAGCCCGGTTCTGGTTCTGGTTTATTTTACAGGCTCCACGGAGCGGACCGACAAAGCCCGGTTCTGGTTCTGGTTTATTTTACGGGCTCCACGGAGCGGACCGACAAAGCCCGGTTCTGGTTCTGGTTTATTTACAGGCTCCACGGAGCGGACCGACAAAGCCCGGTTCTGGTTCTGGTTTATTTTACGGGCTCCACGGAGCGGACCGACAAAGCCCGGTTCTGGTTCTGGTTTATTTTACGGGCTCCACGGAGCGGACCGACAAAGCCCGGTTCTGGTTCTGGTTTATTTTACGGGCTCCACGGAGCGGACCGACAAAGCCCGGTTCTGGTTCTGGTTTATTTTACGGGCTCCACGGAGCGGACCGACAAAGCCCGGTTCTGGTTCTGGTTTATTTTACGGGCTCCACGGAGCGGACCGACAAAGCCCGGTTCTGGTTCTGGTTTATTTTACGGGCTCCACGGAGCGGACCGACAAAGCCCGGTTCTGGTTCTGGTTTATTTTACGGGCTCCACGGAGCGGACCGACAAAGCCCGGTTCTGGTTCTGGTTTATTTTACGGGCTCCACGGAGCGGACCGACAAAGCCCGGTTCTGGTTCTGGTTTATTTTACGGGCTCCACGGAGCGGACCGACAAAGCCCGGTTCTGGTTCTGGTTTATTTTACGGGCTCCACGGAGCGGACCGACAAAGCCCGGTTCTGGTTCTGGTTTATTTTACGGGCTCCACGGAGCGGACCGACAAAGCCCGGTTCTGGTTCTGGTTTATTTACAGGCTCCACGGAGCGGACCGACAAAGCCCGGTTCTGGTTCTGGTTTATTTTACGGGCTCCACGGAGCGGACCGACAAAGCCCGGTTCTGGTTCTGGTTTATTTTACGGGCTCCACGGAGCGGACCGACAAAGCCCGGCTCTGGTTCTGGTTTATTTACAGGCTCCACGGAGCGGACCGACAAAGCCCGGTTCTGGTTCTGGTTTATTTTACAGGCTCCACGGAGCGGACCGACAAAGCCCGGTTCTGGTTCTGGTTTATTTAACATGGTGTCTAAACTAAACCAGGCTTTGTTGGTCCATATTGTGACATTTTGAACTGGGGCTTCAGCCATGGGATTACCCAGCATGCATCGCGTTCAGCTCCTCATTAATTGACGGGCACACCTGGCCTTTCCACGCGCCATGCCTTCTCCCATTCCCCCCACGCGCCTGCTACCTAAGGACCTGTTTCCGTCTGCGGACATCTCGGTGTGCAGCAGCCCCCTCCAGCAGCGGGGCCTCGGGGCCACCCTGCAGGTGCCCCCCCAGCGGCTGCACGGGAAGCTGGGCTCGCGGCCCTGGTCCTCCGTCATCCACTGGCAGCAGCTGCGCTGCGTGGAGGCCGTGGGCTCCGGGGGCTTCGGCTCCGTGTACAGGGCGGAGTACCTGGGCCAGACGGTGGCGCTGAAGAAGGTGAAGCGGAGGACCAAGAACCGGCTGGCCTCCAGGCAGAGCTTCTGGGCGGAGCTTAACGCCGCCCACCTGAGCCACAGGAACGTGGTGCGCGTGCTCGCCGCCAGCACGTGCGTGCCCGCGGACTTCCAGGACGAGGGCAGCATCGGGGCCATCGTGATGGAGTTCGTGGGCAGCAGGAACCTGCAGCAGGTGATCTATGAGAGCCCGGAGCCGCTGGAGGAGGCGCGCTGCCTCCGCTTCTCCTCGGACATGGCGGAGGCGCTGCGCTTCCTGCACGCCCACCTCCTGGTCCACCTGGACGTCAAGCCGCCCAACGTGCTGCTGTCTCCCGGGGGGGTGTGCAAGCTGGCGGACTTCGGCTGCTCCCTCCAGCTGGAGCGGGAGCGCGCGCCCAGCTCCATCAGCCCGCTGCTGAGCCACGGCTGCGGGACCTACTCCCACCGCGCGCCGGAGCTGCTGCGGGGGCAGCCGGTCACCCCAAAGGCAGACATCTTCTCCCTGGGCATCACCATGTGGCAGCTGCTTACCAGGGAGCCCCCCTACACCGGCGACAGGCAGCATGTGCTCTACGCGGTGGTGGCGCGCGATCTGCGGCCGTCTCTCAGCCACGCGGTGTTTGCGTCAGCGCAGGGGCGGCGGCGCGCGGAGCTGCTGGGCCGCTGCTGGAGCGCGGAGGTCCGCCGCAGGCCGAGCGCCGAGGAGCTGCTGGAGCTGCTGAGGTCCGCTTAGAGGTTCGGATGGACTGGATCATGTTAGGGTTCTGTTTGGATGTCTTCATTGTTCTGTTTTTCATTAAAAGGATTTTAAAAACTGATTTCCTGTTTCTTATTTCTTCTGGTTCCGGGTTCTCTTTAGTTCTGCTGATTGAGAATAAAAGTTCGTTTTTGTGACGATCAGAACATTTCAGGATGGATGGACTTCATGCTGGAGATCAGAGGGGAACACCTTCTGAAGAACCGGTTCCGGTCCAGTAAAGACTGACCCAAAGGATCCTGCTGAGCACAGTGGTGGCAGCATTATGCTCTGGGTTTGTCCTCTTTTGGCTGGAACTGTGTTCTTCTTTTCTATCATGGCGGATGGCAAGCAACTTTAAGGTGCATACCGCCACCTACTGTTGATGAGTGTGTACCAACATTGTTTTACATCTATTAAATTCAATTTTTTTATTTTGTATTCTGAAGATAAATAAATAATGCTTTCCTTAATCTATAAATATCTTTTATATTTCCTTTATTTCCCAATAATCCTTTAAGACTCCATTCTTGGCCTGTCCTTTCAACTCTGTCTCATCAATATGTGTTCTGCATTTTCTATCTCTCCACATCCTTCACATTTATCATTTTTCCTCCCTATTAAGTATAAATTGTCATTTAAATAAGTATGACCTACTCTTAAAGGAATAGTACACCCAAAACATGAATAGCCTTCATTTTCTACTCACCCCCATGCTGAACAACACTCTGGAGTACTTTTTTGATATCTCAAATGCATCTGGAGATCTGGGAGGCTTCTTGCTGTCTGCTGACATTCAAATAATGGAGGTCTATGGCGCCCGAGGCAGAAAGGTCCATAAAAGTCCACAAAAAACGTGTCAATATTCCTCCATACTGCTCGTCCAATGTATTCCAAGTGTCCTGAGTGGGTAGCATCCAGAATTTACTCGAAACAAAGTCATTTAGAATGTTTTTAGAGCCTAAACAGTCGTGTATAGGATTTCCTAATAGCGCCCCCATGCGCGCTCACGATTCTACGGAAGCCGGCAGACCAAACCGGAAGAAAGTGCGCATTCAGCGTCTGCTCTGCCAATAATGCAAGCGTAGAAGAAGAAATGTGCTGTTTACCTGTGCAAAGAAAGAAACAACGAAAGGAAAATGTCTGAGGACTTCAGTGTTGAGGAAGAGCATGAGTTCTTTGCCGAGCTGAATGCGCTGGTTTGGTCTGCCGGCTTCCGTAGAATCGTGAGCGCGCTTTTAGGAAATCCTATACACTACTGTTTATGCTCTAAAAACATTCTAAATGACTTCGTTTAGAGTAAATTCTGGATGCTACCCACTCAGGACACTTGGAATACATTGGACGAGCAGTATGGAGGAATATTGACACGTTTTTTGTGGACTTTTATGGACCTTTCTGCCTCGGGCGCCATAGACCTCCATTATTTGAATGTCAGCAGACAGCAAGAAGCCTCCCAGATCTCCAGATGCATTTGAGATATCAAAAAAGTACTCCAGGGTGTTGTTCAGCATGGGGGTGAGTAGAAAATGAAGGCTAATCATGTTTTGGGTGTACTATTCCTTTAATCTGATCATTATTTCTTCCCTTCGGTTTCTCTCATTAATATTTATATTTAATACTGACTTTTCTACTTTATATAACCTTCTTCCTTTTTTATCTTCATTCCACCTTTTTTTTGCCATTTTTCAATTTCCTCCTAAATAGTTTTCCTTCCCCTTTCCCTAAAGGAATTGTAATTGTTATTGCCTCCTCTAAAGCCCTTTTTGCTAATTTGTCTGCCTTTTCCTTTCCTTTTACCCCTTCATGTGCTGGAACCTAACAAAACCAAACATCAATGCCACTCCTGTATAATGTAAATAAACTGTGCTGAATTTCTAATACTAAATCTTTCCTATTATTTCCTTCTCCCTGAATACTTTCTAAAACTGCTCTGGAATCCGTGCAGACCACCATACCCTGTCTGCTCTGACCTCCTCCACCCATTGGAAACTCAGTATAACTGCCACCATCTCTGCTGTGAAAACAGATGATCTGAAATACTTTTAGAAATGTGTATTTTGAACTCTGGTACATATACACTCACCGGCCACTTTATTAGGTACACCTGTCCAACTGCTCATTAACACTTAATTTCTAAGCAGCCAATCACATGGCGGCAACTCAGTGCATTTAGGCATGTAGACATGGTCAAGACAATCTCCTGCAGTTCAAAGCAAGCATCAGTATGGGGAAGAAAGGTGATTTGAGTGACTTTGAACGTGGCATGATTGTTGGTGCCAGAAGGGCTGGTCTGAGTATTTCAGAAACTGCTGATCTACTGGGATTTTCACGCAGAAGAGCATCTCTGAACGCACAGTACGTGGAACTTTGAGGCAGATGGGCTACAGCAGCAGAAGACCACACCGGGTGCCACTCCTTTCAGCTAAGAACAGGAAACTGAGGCTACAATTTGCACAAGCTCATGGAAATTGGACAATAGAAGATTGGAAAAACGTTGCCTGGTCTGATGAGTCTCGATTTCTGCTGCGACATTCGGATGGTAGGGTCAGAATTTGGCGTCTACAACATGAAAGCATGGATCCATCCTGCCTTGTATCAACGGTTCAGGCTGGTGGTGGTGGTGTCATGGTGTGGGGAATATTTTCTTGGCACTCTTTGGGCCCCTTGGTACCAATTGAGCATCGTTGCAACGCCACAGCCTACCTGAGTATTGTTGCTGACCATGTCCGTCCCTTTATGACCACAATGTACCCAACTTCTGATGGCTACTTTCAGCAGGATAATGCGCCATGTCATAAAGCTGGAATCATCTCAGACTGGTGTCTTGAACATGACAATGAGTTCACTGTACTCAAATGGCCTCCACAGTCACCAGATCTCAATCCAATAGAGCATCTTTGGGATGTGGTGGAACGGGAGATTCGCATCATGGATGTGCAGCCGACAAATCTGCGGCAACTGTGTGATGCCATCATGTCAATATGGACCAAACTCCCTGAGGAATGCTTCCAGCACCTTGTTGAATCTATGCCACCAAGAATTGAGGCAGTTCTGAAGGCAAAAGGGGGTCCAACCCATTACTAGCATGGGGTACCTAATAAAGTGGCCGCTGAGTGTGTTTCTATTCCCACACACCCTTTTAAATTTTTAGAACCATCAGAATATATTTTAAGGTAATTATAATATGAGTTTCTTAAATATATATCAGTCTGTATCCCTATTTCGTTTAAATTCCAATCATTTTTCATTTTAATAAGTCTCATGTCTACATTTATCTCAGGAAATAACACTGATTGGATTCAACTGTGCTATTCCAAACTGTGTGCTTATCGAACCTTCAGCATCTAAAGCGGATGTTTCTTATTGGCTGCCAGGATTCTATTCTGCAGGTCTGGTGCTCGTCCGGTTCAGATGAACCGCTCTGCTAGCCCACTGCCCCCCAGGCGCCGCCAATGGCAGCCCACTGCCCCCCAGGCGCCGCCAATGGCAGCCCACTGCTCCCTGGGTACTGCACAATGGCAGCCCACTTCTCCCTGGGCACCACTAATGGCTGCCCACTGCTCCCCGGGTACTGCACAATGGCAGCCCACTTCTCCCTGGGCACCACTAATGGACGCCCACTGCTCCCCGGGTACTGCACAATGGCAGCCCACTGCTCCCTGGGCACCACTAATGGCCGCCCACTGCTCCCCGGGTACTGCACAATGGCAGCCCACTTCTCCCTGGGCACCACTAATGGACGCCCACTGCTCCCCGGGCACCGCCAATGGCCGCCCACTGCTCCCCGTGCGCCGCTAATGGCAGCCCACTGCCCCCCGGGCGCCACTAATGGACGCCCACTGCTCCCCGGGCACCGCCAATGGCCGCCCACTGCTCCCCGTGCGCCGCTAATGGCAGCCCACTGCCCCCCGGGCGCCACTAATGGATGCCCACTGCTCCCCGGGCACCGCCAATGGCCGCCCACTGCTCCCCGTGCGCCGCTAATGGCAGCCCACTGCCCTCCGGGCGCCACTAATGGCCGCCCACTGCTCCCCGGGCGCCACTAATGGCCGCCCACTGCCCCCCGGGTGCCACTAATGGCCGCCCACTGCTCCCCAGGCGCCACTAATGGCCGCCCACTGCCCCCCGGGCGCCACTAATGGCCGCCCACTGCTCCCCAGGCGCCACTAATGGCCGCCCACTGCTCCCCGGGCACCACTAATGGCAGCCCACTGCTCCCCGGGCGCCACTAATGGCCGCCCACTGCTCCCCGGGCGCCACTAATGGCTGCCCACTGCTCCCCGGGCACCACTAATGGCAGCCCACTGCTCCCCGGGGGGACGGGTTAAAAGCAGAGTGAATTCTGATTTCAAACTCTATCAGCAAAGGAACGGACGGACAGCTGGAACCTGACTGTAGACCACCCAGCTCCCAGTCAGAGCTGGTTCCATCCCAGTCAAACAAGTTATCAATCACCGTTACCATGGCAACTGATGACCTGTCCCGTTTCCTGCTTCTTGGTCTGATCAGACGTCCAGAATCCATGTGATGTTCAAAGACGTGTTTCATCCATCAGGTCTGCTTAGCTCCCCCCAACACCTCCGCTCCATCCCACTGCTTTACCTCCTGCTCTGCTGCTCCAGAAGACCTCTAGAAAACCTCAGAGATCAGTAAGGAGAAGATGCATGACGTAGGTCATCAGAACATTTAGATCCTGACCATAAAGTAGACTGAACACAGACCCCAATAATAATCTGCTCAGTAAATCCTTTTATGGAAAGAGTGAAGACCTGTCTCTGCCTGGATGATCTGAAAAATCAAACCCACAACCATCCCAGCCCGCCGAGCTAACCTCCATCCTTCAGACCATCTACCTAATCCAGCAAGCAGGAGATTACAGAGGAACGGAGAGAATAAAGAAACTTCTCTTTACTAAAGTCAAACGGTCCAGTTTGGGTTTTTCTTTTTGGGGGGGGGGGGACAAAATTAGGAAGGGACCGGATTTAGGAAATATGGGGCCCTAGGAAATGACAGGCAGGGGGCCCTGTTCTAGGTAGTGTCCCTCTCTTCTTGTCCCTTTTCTTCTTGTTTTCCTCTCTATGTTTTGTACTCAGCTGACTTTTCATGCTGTCTCTAAAGGAATGAACGATTTTTTCCAAGCACTAAGCTCACTTAGCTGATTGCTCCTTCCTGTGTTTCCAAAAAGGCCAAAGTAAATAACCCAGTCCTTCTTTTCACTGTAGACAAGCCATGATCTGCTTCTCTGTTCTCCATTTTTCATTTGGATGAAATAATAGCTGCATGAATCATGACAGCAGACAAGATAGAGGAGAGCAGGAGGCGGGGTTACCAATCTACTCGCTCTGGAGAGCAGAGTTCGCTGCTTTTAGATGTTGTCTCCAAAGTCTCCAGTAGCAGAAAAAAGTCTCTAGATTTGGCGCTAGGAGCTTTTTAGAAATCAAAGTGCTAGAGGGGTCTGAAAAGTGGCTAAATATAGCGACTAAAGCGCTAAGTTGGCAACACTGCTCTTTGCATGGTTTGTTTTCAAATGGTTTGCTGCTGTCTGTTTGGACCTTTCTGAACATGTGCAGCAAATGGACTGATCCAATATGGTGGACACTGAAGGCGGGGGCTGAGACACACTGAATATTATCAGCATTCTGATGGCATTTTAGTGAAAGGATTTTTATAATTAATGTGCATAAATAAAGAATAGTTGTATTACCTATACATGTGAACAGAGTTTTATGGGGCCCCCGGGAACTTTGGGCCCCTAGGCTACTGCCTGGTATTGCCTAATGGTAAATCTCTCCCCTGTCTGGACTCGCCAGACTCCACCATCAGTTAAGCGTTTTTTAATTCCAGCCTCTCCTCCTGCAGTCACTGTTAACATCTCCTGTGAACTGATTTATTAGGAAAGCTCCTGTCACCTGCTAACAGAGACTGGGCTATGCAGGAGTCAGAATCAGGATTAATAATCCCACAGCAAAGGAGAAGGAAGTCAGTTCTTCAGCTTTATTATTGTATCACGAGACCAAACATGACGATAGAGCTACAATCACTAGATCACATCAATAGTCAAAGCGCTGCAGTGGATCACATGATGGTAACTCTCTCTGGTGAGATGTTGGCCGCTGAGCCCACTGGCTCCAGGCGCCGGCCCTTATAGGGACTGGTGTCCTGACCCTTCCTGATCCGGTGAAGCCGGTGACCCACGCAGGGCAGCAGCATCAGCACCTTGCCCAGTATGACGCACACAGGCAGAGCCAGGGACACCACAAAGCTGGGGGGCAGGTAGAAGCGGTACGAGTCCTGGTCAAAGGCCCGTTTCCAGCCAAAGAGCAGGCCGTGGAAGGTGGCGATGAGAAGGGCGATGTAGCCCAGAGTGGACTGTGGAAAAACAAGGAAAAATGCCATGACAGAAACAGAAAACATAGCTGTGTTCACACTGAGCAGACCTGCTGAACGCCTCTGTCCAGAGGGTGCAGATGCATCTCCATGGTTACATTTGCAAAGCCTCGCCAGGAGGAGCTGTTACTCACCGCCATGTTTAGTGGTACCACATTCTCCTAGCTGCGGAAATTCGCTCCTGACCAGCATGCCTAGGCTGGATTGGCTATTTCCTCTGCTGCCTATCAGAACCACTTGGCCAGCATTAGCTTCAAGTGGCTGGCTTTAGCATCAGATTGGCTGCAGTTAGGATCATATTGGCTGCCATTAGCATCAGATCGGCTGACTTTAGCATCAGATTGGCTGGCGTTAGCGTCATATTGGCTGGCTTTGGCATCAGATTGGTTACAGTTAGCATCACATCGGCTAACTTTAGCATCAGATTGGCTACAGTTAGGATCATACTGACTGCCGTTAGCATCAGATCGGCTGACTTTAGCATCAGATTGGCTGGCGTTAGCGTCATATTGGCTGGCTTTAGCATCAGATCGGCTGGCTTTGGCATCAGATTGGTTACAGTTAGCATCACATCGGCTAACTTTAGCATCAGATTGGCTACAGTTAGGATCATACTGACTGCCGTTAGCATCAGATCGGCTGACTTTAGCATCAGATTGGCTGGCGTTAGCGTCATATTGGCTGGCTTTAGAACCAAACTGGCTGGCTTTAGAACCAAACTGGCTGGCTTTAGAATTAGATTGGCTACAGGTAGCATCACATTGGCTACAGGTAGCATCAGATCGGCTGTCTTTAGCATCAGATTGGCTGGCGTTAACGTCATATTGGCTGGCTTTAGAACCAAACTGGCTGGCTTTAGAATTAGATTGGCTACAGGTAGCATCACATTGGCTACAGGTAGCATCAGATCGGCTGACTTTAGCATCAGATTGGCTGGCGTTAACGTCATATTGGCTGGCTTTAGAACCAAATTGGCTGGCTTTAGAATTAGATTGGCTACAGGTAGCATCACATTGGCTACAGGTAGCATCAGATCAGCTGGCTTTAGCATCAGAGTGGCTACAGTTAGCATTAGAATGGCTGGCTTTAGATTCAGAGTGGCTACAGTTAGCATCAGAATGGCTGGCTTTAGCAACGTATTGGCTGCCGTTAGCATCAGATCAGCTGGCTTTAGCATCAGATTGGCTACAGTTTGCATCAGATCGGCTGGCTTTGGCATCAGATTGGCTACAGTTAGCATCAAATTGGCTTGCATTAGCATTAGATTGGCAGGTGTTAGCATCATCATCATTGAATTAGCTTGTATCAGCATCAGAGAGGCTGGCGCTAGCATCAGATTGGGTGGCGTTAGCATGGGATTGGCTGGTATGAGCATCGGATTGGCAGGCATTAGCATTATATCAGATGGCGTTAGCGTCAAACGGGCAGATGTAGCATCAGATTGACTGGCATTAGCATCAGATCGGCTGGCATTAACATCAGAGGTGTTAGCATCGGTTAGGGTGGCATTAGCTTTGGATTGGCTGACCTCAGCATACGATTTGCCACCTTTAGCATCAGATTGGCTGTAATTAGCATAGGATCGGCTGACATTAGCATCGATTCGGCTGACATGAGCATCAGATGGGGTGGGGTTACCATCGGGTGGGCTGGTGTTAGCATTAGACTAGGTGGCGTTAGCGTCGGATGGGCTGGCATTAGTGTATGATTGGGTGGCTTTAGCATTAGATGGGCTTACATTGGCATCAGACTGGCTGGTGTTAGCATGAGATTGCCTGGCATTTGTATCGAACCGGCTGATGTTCGTATCAGATTGGCTGGTTTTGGTATCGGTTGCTGTTGGCATTAGCATCAGATAGGCTGTCATTAGCATCTGATGGGCTAGCGTTAACATCGGATGGGCTGACGTCATCATCAGATCGACTGACGTTAGCATCGGATTGATAGATTAGCATTGGATCGGCTGGCATTAGCATCAAACCAGCTGGTGTTAGCATCAGATTGGCTGGCGTTAGCTTTGGATTGACTGGGCTTAGCACAGGATTGGCTTGCATTAGCATTGGATTGGCTACCATTATAATTAAGCCCAATGTCAGGCCCTTCTATGGCTAGAGTTAGCCACAGAATGGGCTGATATTAGCATCGATTCAGCTTACATGAGCATCGGTTGGGCTAGCATTAGTATCAGATGGGCTTAATTTAGCATCAGATTTGCTGGTACTAGCATCGGATCGGTTAGTGTTAGCATTGAACTGGCTGGTGTTTGCATCAGATTGGCTGGTGTTGGCATCAGATCGGCAGGCATTGGCATTAGCATTGGATATACTGGCCTTAGCACAGGATTGCCATTGGCATCAAATGAACTGGAATTAGCATTGGATTGACTTGCATTGGCAATAGCATCAGATAGGATGGAGCTAATATTGGATAGGCTGTGCTTGGCATAGGTTAGGCTGCCGTTAGCATTGGATTGGCTGGCGTTAGCCCAGGATTGGCTGGCCTAAGTATAGGATAGTCTTGGATAGTCTTGCATTAGCATTAATTTGGCTGGTGTTAGCATCAGCTAACATTATTCCTACCGTTCACATTAGATTGGCTGCCGTTGCAGTGGATTGGCTGGCATTAGCATCAGCCTTAGGCTAGGATAAGCAGGTGTTAGCCTCAGCTATGCTGGTATTAGTCTAGATTGATAGTCTGACTCCAGCTTGGGATTACAGAATGGCCTTAGTATAGAATTGTAGACTAGCATTAACCTAGGATTACAGGCTGGTCTTAGGCTAGGATATGCTGGTGTTAGTCTAGACTGATAGACCGACCCTAGCTTGGGATGACAGATTGGCATTAGCCTTGGATACGCTAGTGTTAGCCTTGAACAGGCTGGCATTAGCCTAGGATGGTAAACTAGCATTAACCTAAGCCAGTTTGGGATGATAGACTGTCATTAGCATAGGATTGTAGGCTGGCTTTAGCCTAGGATAGATTAATATGAACCTTTGATGAGCTAGCATGCCCTAATTGATAGGCTGGCATTAGCGTAGGTTGACGGTCTGGCTTTAGTTTTGGATTGGCTGGAATTAGCCTTGGATGATCGGAGAAACCAGCTAGTGAATATCAGAGATAACAGCCAACGAACATCAGAGAAACCAGGCAGGGAACATCGGAGATATACCAGCAAGCGAACATCGGAGGAACCAGCCAGCGAAAATCGGAGAAACCATCCAGCGAACATCGGAGAAACCGCCCAGCGAACATCGGAGAAACCACCCAGCGAACATCGGAGGAACCAGCCAGCGAATATCGGGGGAACCAGTCAGCGAACATCAGAGGAACCAGCCAGCGAACATCGGAGAAATCAGCCAGCAAACATCGGAGATACCAGCCAGCAAACATCGGAGAAAGCACCCAGCAAACATCTGACAAACCAGACAGCGAACATTGGACGAACCAGCCACATCTGTGAGCTAGAGTGAATTTAAACTAAATTCGTTTTTGAAGTTCATTCATAGGAGAGGCGGCGATCAGATGTCGTCCAAGTCCTGCTGCTCGCCTCACTAATTGGCTCCGCTGCGGACCCGCCCTCTGCATACAGATAACGAGGGGATCATTCGCAAACCAACTGCAAACCTTTGATTTGTACCTGGATGAAGCTGAACTCCCGCCAGTTGAGGGCGCTGCTGATGGAGGGGATGGAGGTGATGGCCAGGAGGGACATCAGGCCAAAACTCATCACCCCAAAGGAGACGTACATCTCCACGCGCCACACCTCCTCCTCATTCCACGAGTTCTCCACGTTAGCGTGAATCTGTGGGGACAGCGGGAGGCCTTCTTTATTTCTGGCTCTGCAGGCTGGACGCCTCGGAGCAGACAGAGGACCTGACCAGGAGGAACTCATCTCCTCCTTCCTCCTTCCCACCAGCTGGAGATTTAATGATTTTATTCCTACAGGCAGTCAAACTGTCTGTAGCTGGAGGAAGATCTCCACCGTTCTCCTCCAAACATGGAGGAAATCTCTAAGCCCCATTTTGGCAACAGGAAGGAAGGTAAATCCCATTTCCATAAGTATTCACACCCTTTATGATGAAGCTGGATCCGCCTGTAGAAGGTTCCTCTGACTGGAAGTGATCAGGAACGGCCATAGAAGGTCCTACAGCTGAGCGTGATGTCAGAGAGGAAACAGCCAACAGGAGGCCAGGCACCTCCTCACCAGAGCCGTACCATCCCTGCAGTGGAGCATGGTGGTGGCAGCATCAGGCTGTGGCATGTTTTCCAGCAGACTGGTCTGGATAGATGAAGCTCTGAGTGGGCGATGGTCTCCAAGGATGGGACCAGAACCAGAGCAGAATCTGACGCAACATCTGTAGAGAGCTAAGCTGGAGGCAGACCGGGGGTCGGACCAGGGGCAGGAATACTTATGGAAATGGGATTTCATACTTTTCTATCTGTACTTTGAAGCTGTGTCATAAAGCATGTCTCACTAACATGATCCTCATTCTGGCCTTCCTGCTTCTGTTTCAGTTTCACTTTGATTCCATTCTGTCTTTTCTTGGTCGCTGGTTTCTGTTCCATCTGATGTCTTCTAGTTCTCTAATTATATTTATGCTGTGCTGTATTTTCTGAGTTACTCTCTGTCGCCCCCTTGTCTCCTTTCCTCTGGCTCCCTTCTAGCTGCTTCTATCCACACCTGCCCCCCGTTAGCCGGTTAGCCCAGTCTTTGGCTCTGTTTGAAAACCTAGGACGGGTCCTCCAAGGACGCGGTCTACCTAGACTGGATCCTCCAAGGACGCGGTCTACCTAGACTGGATCCTCCAAGGACGCGGTCTACCTAGACTGGATCCTCCAAGGACGCGGTCTACCTAGACTGGATCCTCCAAGGACGCGGTCTACCTAGACTGGATCCTTCGAAGTCCTTGAAAATAAGGAGACCAGAAGAGTTTAGGCTGTAAATTCGACCAGGTCTACCCTTCGGCGGGTTTTACCGCCGTATGCTCTGTTGCTTAGCAACCGTAAAAGTTGACACACAAAGCAGGAAAAGAATGAATACAGAAGTTTTCAAAACTGTTTGTTTATTTATTTATTTTTTTAAAAAGTTAAAGTGAACAAAGACTACACTCACAAGAATCCAGAGTGGAATAAAGGTTCCAACCAGCGGGAGCAGGAACAAATCAAATCAATGTAATGACAGAAACTTTAGTCAGTTAAATAACCTGCTGCTGTCATTCTGCACATCTCTGATGTTGCTGCTATTTTCAAATATCCATTACTGTAAAAATGTCCATAGCTGCATATTGGTTATTAATTCTCCAGTTTTATATTGTTAAAACACTTTACAGTATTGTAATTTTTATATTTTAACTCTTCCCTATTATGTTATTCTAACACATTTTTCTAAGGTCCTCATTTGTGTGACCATTTTCAATAATCTTTCTGCTGCTGTAAATTTTCCCCTTGTGGGACAATAAAGGGATTTTCTATTCTATTCTATAAAAGGGTTAGAAATATATAAGTAAATCTAAACAATTTACTTATAAAAAATATATCTGCAAAATCTCTAATATTCAACAACAAAAAATACTTAGTTAAGCATATTGTGCAAAACAGCAATAAAAAGATAAAAATCCTTTCAGATTTATAGTTCCCACCCTGCAGATATATTAGAATCTGTCCTTAAATTCCAGCCAAACCCATTTACATAGTAACAGATTAAAACCTTTAGATAAATCAAACATTACCGCCACATATCTGACTCAGTAACCATTAAAACAACTATTTTCATTCATTTCAGACGGAACTATTCACAGTTGTATTATATTAAACTGAACTTCCAATATTCACCACTGTTCGGCGCCAAGTAACCTTTCCTCTGATCACAGCTTGCTTGGTCTCAAAATGAATCCTGGGATATCCAAGAATACCGAGGATACATCGGACCCGTCCTTCAAATCGGGCAAAAAGAAGGACGCATTTTAAGGCCGCATAACGAGGACTCTTTGAATCCGACCAGACCTCGGCGCCGCGCTATGACGTAATCGGCCTTCGAATCCGGTCTTCTAAGGATGCGTCCTAGGTTTTCGAACAGAGCATTTGTTCTGTCTCCCATACATTCACTTCCTGTTCACTTCCTGGTTGCTGGATTCTCTTCCTTCCTTTATTCCTTATGTTATATTGTCCTGAGCGTCTCCTGGTTTTTGATTCCTGAGTTCATTGCCTGTCGTTTCTGAATTATTTGCTTCTGTAATTCCTCATTAATCCTGCATCTCGGTCGTCAACACACACCAACCAGCCCTGACACCGGATTTAAATCCACTTGGAATCAGGCTGGAAAAGAAGTGAAGACGTTGTAGATGAACAGCTGACATAGAAGCTCTAAATCCTCCCTAAGGTCATCTAAAGGTCACCCAGTCCGGTCTGTCCACACCTGGAGCATCAGAACTCTGATTCTGCGGTCTGGCTCTATCGTCTCCCTCTGGTGGAACCCTAGCACGTCATGGCGGTCATCTTACCTGCTGGTAGGCGGCGTTGAGCAGCTGGTACCTCTCAGACCTTCTCAGCGGTAGACAGAGGCTGTAGAGCACATGAACAGCAGCCAGGAAAAAGCTGATCAGACCTAACTGCTTCCTGCTCTGCAGCCAGCCCTCCAGCCAATGAGGGAACTGCTTATACTTGGTCCCGTAGTATAGCTGGTGCGCCGCCGCCAGCTGGCCGGCCAGGTACACCAGGGCCAGGAGCGTAACGGCCACGGTGGGGAGGGTGTGGTTCACTATCTCTACTGGGATCTTGTAGAAGTCGCTCTGCTTATGCTTCACATACGGCTGGATGATGTCCCGTACAAAGGAATAACCAAAAAAGAAGATGGAGAGGGCCACGGCAGCGAGGACGGGTCCCTTCCAGGCAGGGAATAACTGAACGGGGATGTTCTCGATGTAGCGGGACAGAGACAGGGGGCCCATGTCCACGGGCTGGAAGTTCAGCCGGCGAGCCAACTCCATGATCAGCTGACGAGCCTCTATGGAGTCACTGCAGATGAAGACCTGGGAGAGATCCGGGGTCAGAGCCAGAAACACCGTTAGCTACACTCTGAGAGCGGCCTGGCCTACTGCATCAGCACCAGTCCACCCATGCAAGGGGGTCACTTTGCCATAAAAGTTGGTGGGGGCGCTCTAAGGGTGGGGGCGCTCTAAGGGTGGGAGCGCTCTAAGGGTGGGAGCGCTCTAAGGGTGGGGGCGCTCTAAGGGTGGGAGCGCTCTAAGGGTGGGAGCGCTCTAAGGGTGGGAGCGCTCTAAGGGTGGGGGCGCTCTAAGGGTGGGAGCGCTCTAAGGGTGGGAGCGCTCTAAGGGTGGGGGCGCTCTAAGGGGTGGGGGCGCTCTAAGGGTGGGGGCGCTCTAAGGGGTGGGGGCGCTCTAAGGGTGGGGGCGCTCTAAGGGTGGGGGCGCTCTAAGGGGTGGGGGCGCTCTAAGGGTGGGAGCGCTCTAAGGGTGGGGGCGCTCTAAGGGGTGGGGGCGCTCTAAGGGTGGGAGCGCTCTAAGGGGTGGGGGCGCTCTAAGGGTGGGGGCGCTCTAAGGGGTGGGGGCGCTCTAAGGGTGGGGGCGCTCTAAGGGTGGGGGCGCTCTAAGGGGTGGGGGCGCTCTAAGGGTGGGAGCGCTCTAAGGGGTGGGGGCGCTCTAAGGGTGGGGGCGCTCTAAGGGTGGGGGCGCTCTAAGGGTGGGAGCGCTCTAAGGGGTGGGGGCGCTCTAAGGGTGGGAGCGCTCTAAGGGTGGGGGCGCTCTAAGGGGTGGGGGCGCTCTAAGGGTGGGAGCGCTCTAAGGGGTGGGGGCGCTCTAAGGGTGGGGGCGCTCTAAGGGTGGGGGCGCTCTAAGGGGTGGGGGCGCTCTAAGGGTGGGAGCGCTCTAAGGGGTGGGGGCGCTCTAAGGGTGGGGGCGCTCTAAGGGTGGGGGCGCTCTAAGGGTGGGAGCGCTCTAAGGGGTGGGGGCGCTCTAAGGGTGGGGGCGCTCTAAGGGTGGGGGCGCTCTAAGGGTGGGGGCGCTCTAAGGGGTGGGGGCGCTCTAAGGGTGGGGGCGCTCTAAGGGTGGGAGCGCTCTAAGGGTGGGGGCGCTCTAAGGGGTGGGGGCGCTCTAAGGGTGGGGGAGCTCTAAGGGTGGGAGCGCTCTAAGGGGTGGGGGCGCTCTAAGGGTGGGGGCGCTCTAAAGGTGGGGGCGCTCTAGGTGGGGGCGCTCTAAGGGTGGGGGCGCTCTAAGGGTGGGAGCGCTCTAAGGGGTGGGGGCGCTCTAAGGGTGGGGGCGCTCTAAGGGTGGGGGCGCTCTAAGGGTGGGGGCGCTCTAAGGGTGGGGGCGCTCTAAGGGTAGGGGCGCTCTAAGGGTGGGGGCGCTCTAAGGGGTGGGGGCGCTCTAAGGGTGGGGGCGCTCTAAGGGTGGGAGTGCTCTAAGGGTGGGGGCGCTCTAAGGGGTG